GGAGAGGCCGCAACAGTGAGAGGCCCGCGTACCGCAAAAAAAAAATTTAAAAAAAGGCATAACACCTCGACAGAGAAGAAGTATAAGTTCTTACTTTTCTCAACCTGACTGCTGACCGGCAATGATTAAGACTAGCTGTAGGGACACAGAGAGAAGTCAGCCTGGACCCCTACCCTGGAGTCCACTCCGGTTGAGGAAAAGGGTGAGGGCTTTCGAGTGTGGGCTCTGGACGACCACTGGGTTCAGATACCGCACCTGCCCCTACCGGGAGGGAGTGTCACCCAATGTCCCCACGCTCCAGTTTCCTCATCTGTAGAGTGGGGAGACTACTAGCTACCTGGCAGGTGTGTCAGGAAGATCTCGGGTATAAATGCATGGATGGGGCACATAGTAAACGCCCAGCACGTGTTGGCTAGTAGAAATATTTTATTGTTACTACTGTTCCAGTCAAGCCTCTCTGAGAGGCAGGGTTTCATAATCTGGAGTTTGGAAGTCCATTTACCTTCTGATTATAAGCAAAATTGTGTGTCTGTGCATCTTTCTAGATAGAGGGTCTGGAGCTTCTTTCCCCAAACTCTTAAAGTAATTGGTTGTGGCTCCAAAACATTTTAAAACACTTGCCTTTTAAAAACAGCCCTTTGTAGAAATGTCAAAGGTAAAGCTGGAACCACTCAGGGAACCCACACAGGTAGCGTAGGATGGGAACTGCGAGGCTGACCGGCTACCCTCCTGGCGTCCTCGAAGCTTCTCCCCACGCGGCGCCGCCTTCAAAGCCAGCCTTTCAGCCTGAGAATCCATGGAGCCCCACGGCGGCTCTGCAGGAAGAGGCCTGGCTGCTCGTTTTCAGTTGGGTGTTATTCTGCAGGCTTCTGCCGGACCTTCTGTCACCAGCTTCCGCATCGAACGGCCTCTCCTGTGCTTCTGACTTGGTATCGAGCTGGGAGGCCTCCCACGCCCGCTCTGTGCTCTGCTCCAGCTGCCGGAGACAGACTCCCATTCTCTGCTTTGGTCCCCGGGGCCACGGGCTGAACACAACCAAAATCTTTCTCTCCTTCATGAATGTTCTTTCTGGAGGTCTGGCCTCCCCTTCTCAGGACGGAAGAGGCACAAGGCAAGGAAGGAAGCAGTTGCTTGTGCCACATCTGCTACCGGGCGGGTGCTTGGGGCCCTGGCCATCCCTTGGGGGAAGGAGGGCTGGCCAGCAGGTAAATGGCTGGAGGATGAAGGGGGAGCCCCAGTTAGCTGTCAGAGATGAGCACCCACGCCCACCTTTCTTCTCGGTGCTGTTGAGCACTGGGGACAGAGGGGTGAGCAAGACAGCCCCTGCCCTGCCGTCAGGTTCCAGGTGGGGATGCTCACGCCCATCTGTGAGGCCTCAGGAAACGCCCACTTGAGGTGTCCAACAAAGACCAAACCCAAACTTGTCCTGTTTAACCATCAGGTGTGGACTAATCCAGGCCAATCACAGCTAGGGAGGAATGTGAGAAGTCTGATCTACACAGGAAAAGCTAAATGCACCCATCCCTGATGCCTGCCCTTTCCGCCCTCCCCCACGCACAGGAAGGACAGGATTCCACAGGAACTCAGGCTGAGAGAAAGCTGGTACTAATCCAGGCCAATCACAGCTAGGGAGGAATGTGAGAAGTCTGATCTACACAGGAAAAGCTAAATGCACCCATCCCTGATGCCTGCCCTTTCCGCCCTCCCCCACGCACAGGAAGGACAGGATTCCACAGGAACTCAGGCTGAGAGAAAGCTGGTGAAGTCAGCTCCCCCCTCGCTGGACATGGGAGCAGCCGCCCCCCCCCCGATCCCACATGCCATGGAGCGGCTGGGCCCGTGAGCCGTGGCCGCTGAGCCTGCGCGTCTGGAGCCTGTGCTCCGCGACGGGAGAGGCCGCAACAGTGAGAGGCCCGCGTACCGCAAAAAAAAAATTTAAAAAAAGGCATAACACCTCGACAGAGAAGAAGTATAAGTTCTTACTTTTCTCAACCTGACTGCTGACCGGCAATGATTAAGACTAGCTGTAGGGACACAGAGAGAAGTCAGCCTGGACCCCTACCCTGGAGTCCACTCCGGTTGAGGAAAAGGGTGAGGGCTTTCGAGTGTGGGCTCTGGACGACCACTGGGTTCAGATACCGCACCTGCCCCTACCGGGAGGGAGTGTCACCCAATGTCCCCACGCTCCAGTTTCCTCATCTGTAGAGTGGGGAGACTACTAGCTACCTGGCAGGTGTGTCAGGAAGATCTCGGGTATAAATGCATGGATGGGGCACATAGTAAACGCCCAGCACGTGTTGGCTAGTAGAAATATTTTATTGTTACTACTGTTCCAGTCAAGCCTCTCTGAGAGGCAGGGTTTCATAATCTGGAGTTTGGAAGTCCATTTACCTTCTGATTATAAGCAAAATTGTGTGTCTGTGCATCTTTCTAGATAGAGGGTCTGGAGCTTCTTTCCCCAAACTCTTAAAGTAATTGGTTGTGGCTCCAAAACATTTTAAAACACTTGCCTTTTAAAAACAGCCCTTTGTAGAAATGTCAAAGGTAAAGCTGGAACCACTCAGGGAACCCACACAGGTAGCGTAGGATGGGAACTGCGAGGCTGACCGGCTACCCTCCTGGCGTCCTCGAAGCTTCTCCCCACGCGGCGCCGCCTTCAAAGCCAGCCTTTCAGCCTGAGAATCCATGGAGCCCCACGGCGGCTCTGCAGGAAGAGGCCTGGCTGCTCGTTTTCAGTTGGGTGTTATTCTGCAGGCTTCTGCCGGACCTTCTGTCACCAGCTTCCGCATCGAACGGCCTCTCCTGTGCTTCTGACTTGGTATCGAGCTGGGAGGCCTCCCACGCCCGCTCTGTGCTCTGCTCCAGCTGCCGGAGACAGACTCCCATTCTCTGCTTTGGTCCCCGGGGCCACGGGCTGAACACAACCAAAATCTTTCTCTCCTTCATGAATGTTCTTTCTGGAGGTCTGGCCTCCCCTTCTCAGGACGGAAGAGGCACAAGGCAAGGAAGGAAGCAGTTGCTTGTGCCACATCTGCTACCGGGCGGGTGCTTGGGGCCCTGGCCATCCCTTGGGGGAAGGAGGGCTGGCCAGCAGGTAAATGGCTGGAGGATGAAGGGGGAGCCCCAGTTAGCTGTCAGAGATGAGCACCCACGCCCACCTTTCTTCTCGGTGCTGTTGAGCACTGGGGACAGAGGGGTGAGCAAGACAGCCCCTGCCCTGCCGTCAGGTTCCAGGTGGGGATGCTCACGCCCATCTGTGAGGCCTCAGGAAACGCCCACTTGAGGTGTCCAACAAAGACCAAACCCAAACTTGTCCTGTTTAACCATCAGGTGTGGACTAATCCAGGCCAATCACAGCTAGGGAGGAATGTGAGAAGTCTGATCTACACAGGAAAAGCTAAATGCACCCATCCCTGATGCCTGCCCTTTCCGCCCTCCCCCACGCACAGGAAGGACAGGATTCCACAGGAACTCAGGCTGAGAGAAAGCTGGTGAAGTCAGCTCCCCCCTCGCTGGACATGGGAGCAGCCGCCCCCCCCCCGCCCCCCCGCCTGCCCTAGGCTTCCACTGCCCGGCACAGGACCTGCTGGGGCTGGGACTCAATAAACAGTTGTTGAATAAACATACACATTAATAGAATAAGATGGAATTTTCTTAGGACGTTTGGTCTTAACCATTCTCAGTTTAGGATTGTTTTGAAGAGAAGCTGAAGCTATGTGTGGTGATTTTTTTTTTTTTTTTTTTTTTTTTCCTTGCATTATGCGGGCCTCTCACTGTTGCGGCCTCTCCCATTTGCGGAGCACAGGCTCCGGACGCGCAGGCTCAGCGGCCATGGCTCACGGGCCCAGCCGCTCCGCGGCATGCGGGATCTTCCCGAAACGGGGCACGAACCCGCGTCTCCTGCATCGGCAGGCGGACTCTCAAGCACTGTGCCACCAGGGAAGCCCATGTGTGGTGATTTTATTTACTGTAAAATATACAGTTCAATGGCTAGGTCTTGAAAAACTTTGGAAGTTTTCTCAGGTCAATAAGGAAGAAGCCAGCTTATTTGGCCCTTGGTGACTCAGGTTTGTACCCTCTTGCTGATGTGACCAATGTCCAAACACAGGAAACCACCAGGGGAAGTGGGGGAAGGGTGTTGAGAGACCTACGGTAGCGACACCCATCCCTTCTGACTGGGCTGCCCAAGCTCGGGGAAGTCACAGATCACAGAACCCATCTCATCTCAGTTTCAAAAGAGAGCCATGGATTGGAAGGTGCCCTAGACACCATCCTTTAAGCGCATGGACCTCGAAACGTGGGCTCTGAGCACCTGGCCCTTGGTGAGCCTCCTTTGGAAAATACAGATGGAGCTGAACAGAAACCTGGTCCCCCCTAAAGGTCTTTGGAGGCCAGCATCTGAATCCCAGAAATATCCCGAAACCTCTGGCTACAGATTCTGGGCATTGCTTGGGCCCCTGTGACCCCCACGGAAGTTCACTTACTAAAAGCTGCAACGACTGTTACCAAGCACCGTCGCGGGCGTGGATCAGCCATGCTGGGAGGGGCAGCGAGCCCGGCTCACTGACCAGGCGGAGCCTGCTTGGTGCTGATGGACGCTGCTGTCTCTCAGCAGGCTCACATCTCTTTTTGCCAATATAACCAACTTAAAAGAAAAAAATCACTCCAGGAACTGCAAACAAATGATCCAAGCAATCCTTACAGCCCCAATGAGGTAAACATGATCTCCCTTCTACAAACTGGGGAAACCGAGGGCTTGGAGAGGTAAGGAAGCTCGGCCAAATCACACCATGGGGGAGTCAGGGGTGAAAGTGCGCCCAGACCCCTAGCTCTGGGCTACCCAAATCAGGCCCCTCACCCTGCAGGTCCGTGGCTTCCAGCTGGAGTCCTGCCCGAGGCCGTGCCGCGCGGGTCGCAGCCAGGGGTGAGGGGAGGGGAGGACGTGGCTCGGTGGCCAGGCAGCAGGGAGGTCTGTGACGGCCGCACACCTGTGTCCCCAGGCCCGTGGAGAGACTGCCTGCAGGCCCTGGAGGATGGCCATGACACCAGCTCCATCTACCTGGTGAAGCCAGAGAACACCAACCGCCTCATGCAGGTGTGGTGCGACCAGAGGCATGACCCCGGGGGCTGGACCGTCATCCAGAGGCGCCTGGACGGCTCGGTCAACTTCTTCCGAAACTGGGAGACATACAAGGTGAGGACTGCCCACCTGAGTGCCAGGGCCCTCGGAAGGAGGAGCCTGCTGCCCGTCAGGGCCTGTGTGGCCCAAGGGAGGAGGACACTGACGGGGCCATTTCTGCAAACCCACCAGGGTGGGGGGGACCAGCTGCTCCTTCGCTGCCCCATTGGCAACTGTGGCAGGACAGAAACAGGGGTTCAGACCACAAAAGCCCCACGAATGGGGTGGGAATTTCGAAATGCTGGGGTGCAGTAGCCCCTCACCCCAGCCAGGTGTGGGAAGCACCTTGGTCCCAGCTGGGGCTCTCAAGGGGAAGACCTGTCCTCACAGCCCAGAAGGGGCAAGTCTTAAGGCTCCCAAGCCCCGGGAAAATCTCCCATATAGCCCGTTTTGGGGAACTGTGGGAATACTTGGGTCCTAATTCCAGGGCTCATCCTCTGGGCTCCCAATTCCTGGGAAGTTGAATGCTCTTCCTTGTAGAAGGAAAGGCTGCAAGGGCTCCACCCAACACCTGTCTCGCTCCTCTGAACAAAGAAGTGGTAGTGAGGACGCGAGGGCAGCTGAGTTCACTGACACCTGCCACACGCCAGGCGCAGCGCTGGGTGCTTCCGTTCATTACATCCTTTGCTCTCACATCAACCCCAGGAGGAAGAGACTGGTCTGGACCCAGTTTACAGATGAAAAGGTGGCACAGTCAGGAAGGGGGAGAGCAGTGAATACAGCCTAGGCCTCTGACACCTGCAGAGCCGACAAACTCCCTGGACCACGACACCCACACGTGGCTTTGCCATGCCCCGGTCCTGTCCTGCTTGCCCTCCAACCCACCTCCTGACCAGCCTGTGCCTTTGTTTTCTGCTCTTTCTCCTCTGCCTCCTAGTTGAGAGGTTCCTGAAGATGCCCTAACTCCTCCCGCCTCCTTTCCACATTCTCTTCCTCAGAGCAGTAGGTGAAGTGGTTAAGTCTGGGCTCTTAGTTCAAATCCTGGCTCACCCTCGCACACTCTGGGACCCTGGGCCTCCCCAGGCCTCAGTCCACCCGCTCTAGGGAGGATAATGATAGTACCTAGTTCATAGAGTTGGCATGAGGGTTAATAAAATGACCTACGGAAAGTTCTGCCGACAGTGCCAATATACCGTAAGTACTAACTAAATACTAGCTATTATTATCATTAATGAGTCCACCTATTTCTCAAGACTTCAAGTGGCCACCACTCGGCTGATGACACCAAAAATACTTGGAAAAAATATAACAAATCCCCTGGATTCTAGACCTAGGAGGGTGCCCAGGTGGATGTGGCACGCCTTTGTCACAGCTCACACCTGTGCATTAGTTTACATGGGACCCTCACACACAGCCCCTTCCCAGAGAAGGGAACAGAAGCTCAGAGAAGGTAAGGGAATTGTCCACGGAACTCATGTTGCATGCCTACTGTGTGCTAGGCTCTTAATTTACCATATTACGTGTGTCCTTACAGCAACCCTGCAGGGAAGGTAACATAGCGTCTCCCACGTTCACACGATGCCTAGCATGAAACAGGCACTCTCTAAATAGTCTTGAGTGTTGCATGACTGAGGCTCAGACAGGCAAAGTGACTCATCAAGTGGCAGCCAGGTGTGGGGGTGGGGAATTAAATGCAGGCCTGCCTTCTGCTCTGCCTTTTTCCAGGCCTCTCTGCCTGGCGCTGAGCAGCTGACAGCCGGGCCCTGCTGGCTGAGCGCACTACGTATTCCTCACTAATGCTTGCCCACGTTTTCCCCAGCAAGGGTTTGGGAACATCGACGGCGAGTACTGGCTGGGCCTGGAGAACATTTACTGGCTGACAAACCAAGGCAACTACAAACTGCTGGTGACCATGGAAGACTGGTCTGGCCGCAAGGTCTTTGCAGAATATGCCAGCTTCCGCCTGGAGCCTGAGAGCGAGTATTATAAGCTGCGGCTGGGGCGCTACCATGGCAACGCCGGTGACTCCTTTACCTGGCACAATGGCAAGCAGTTCACCACCCTGGACAGAGACCATGATGTCTATACAGGTAGGACCAGTGGAGTCACACCCAGGTGCAGGGCAGGGAAAAGAGGTCAGTCAAAGCCGAGACTCTGACTCCCAGGCCTGAGAACAGGAAGATCCCAGGGCCCAGCTGCCCAACCCTGCTCCCATCCCCTGGAGGACCACTCCTTTGCCCTCTGCCCCCACATCCCCTTCGCAAGGCTGGGTCAGCATGGCATTTACAAAAAGGGGAAGGTAAAGAGGTGCACAAATTACATATCCGAGGGCCACTCTGGGCCAAGCTGGACATTGTACTGGGCTGTGCACTGCATCACTCCCTGCCTGAGGCACTGGGTGTCACGGCGACGTGTCCCCATGTTACACCCTGGCTAACAATGCTGCCCCACCTCCTACATGCCTGTGCCCTTAGGCACGCTGTTCAATCTCTCTGGGCCCGTTTCCACATCTGGAAATAAGGACATACCTATGTAGCGGAGTGGTGAGAAGGTGAGAATGTGCCTGAAGTGCTTTGTCTGGGACTTGGTGGAGTCAGGCTCTGAGTGGGTGCAGTCTCTAGTGTGTACTGACAATGCAGTGCTATGGGAAGCTATGAGAGGAAACCAGGTAGGAGAGATGAAACGACCTGTCCAAGATCACATGCCTCAAGTCCAGGTCTTTATTAAACAAAAAAACAAGGGAAAAAACAAAAAACTGAAGAAACACACACAGTCCAACCCTGAGTCCAGACATCAACCCCCCACATTCATCTCAAGGCTCCACACCTCAATTCCTTGAGATGAGGGCCCCTGGGTCCTCGCTGGCTGATCCCTGGAGAGCCAAGCCCGCCTCCAGGCCAAGGCTGTTCTCATGGGCAAACCCAGCCCCCTCCTGCACCAGCTCCCCGATAGGTCCCAGTCTAAAGGCCACAGCCTCCCCTTTGAGGACTGTCCCAGGAACCACCTGCACTTCCTTGGCAAGCCCAGCTGCCTACATCCTGAGGAGGGATCCCCACTCCAGGTCACCGACACCTCTACCTACTCCCTGGTGCAGAACTGACCCTGCTGCAGGGGCCCCCAGGAGGCAGTGTGTCGTCTGAGGCCGGGGCTGCCGAGGCTTCCGGAAGAGCAGGGCAGGAAGATGACCCTCATCAGAACTGTCAGACTCTGGGGACAGAGAGGCTGGTTACAGCATTTCTTGAGGGCCGTTATGGGGAGCAGGGAGCAGACCCCCAACTGTCAGGCCTGTCCAGCAGCAGGGTCAGTGGACGTGAGGCAGTGAGCTCCCTGTCCCTGGAGGCATGAGGGGCAAGCTCAGGAGGGGCGTCCACTGGCTGACGGGAGGCTGGCTGTGGCGCGCCGAGGGTTCTGCCCTCCAAATCCGATGCTGCCGCTTGGACCTCGTGGCCTCGGGTCACGGCCCAGAGGGGCCAGAGAAAAACTCTGGGAAAACCTGGGCTGCTGGGGCTCTGGGGGGTGCCTGGGGCTGAGTCTCCTCTCGGCTTTCTGCCTCAGCCGGCCTGCTCCCTCCTCACCTCACCCCAAGGCCTCTCCTGGAGCAGAGCTGCCCGCCCCATCGGGCCCCCAAACCCACAAACTTGACTGGGCAGCCCTTCCCCTGAGTGGGGTCTCTCCCTGGGCCTGACAATGTCTTACCCCTCCCTCCTGGTAAGGGCGATGCCCCTGCACGCCTGCTTGTACCTTGCCCACACTTTTACTGTTGTTCCGACTGTTGTTCCGAACTGCTTGTCCTTGGCAGCAAAATCCAGCATGATATGATAGTGCCAGAAACTTTATGAAAATATCTTGCTTTTGTGGAAAAAAAAAATTGTTTTTGGCTGGAATACAGGCTTGGGAGGAATAGAGGAACATTTCATCTTAAACACTTCCTTTGTCATTCTATAAAGACTCTTGACCTAATAGTTTCAGCTCTTAAAAAACATTCCTAAGAAAAACTGGCCCTCTACCCACCCACCTCAGGTCATTTCTGTTTTCCTCCCTGGTGCTTGCTCTGCAGCGAGCCCTGGGCTAATCCGTGGCCTCCTTCGGTTCCCACACGGGTCCCGTACTGTGCGGGGGCAGCACGCTCATCCTTATTTTACCGTGAGAATTCAGTGGCTCAACAAGGTTAAGTTGCCTGCCCAAGATCACAGAGCTCGTTAGTCAGCAGGCAGGTCTGAGGCCCCGTCCCCTCTCAGGCACCCTTGGTCCAAATGCCTCCATAGGGGGTCCCTCGGAAGCCCCCCGAGCAGACGGTGGACACAGGTAGAACCTCCTCCCTGAGACCTTCTCGCTCTTTCTCTCCTGTAGGCAACTGTGCCCACTACCAGAAGGGCGGCTGGTGGTATAATGCCTGTGCCCACTCCAACCTCAACGGGGTCTGGTACCGCGGGGGCCACTACCGGAGCCGCTACCAGGACGGAGTCTACTGGGCTGAGTTCCGAGGAGGCTCCTACTCGCTCAAGAAGGTGGTGATGATGATCCGGCCGAACCCCAACACCTTCCACTAGGCTGGCCCTCCTCCTGACCCCTCGTGGCCGCCGGGAGCCTGCCCGGCTGTGCTGGCCCAGCCCAGAGAGCGCCTCCTTCCAGTTCACCTCAGGACTGGGAGGACTGCGACGCTGGACTCTGATTTCCCAAGTCACTGAGGCAGATAATACAACTGAATCCAAGCGGTATTCTCCGTTGCTACTACTCTCTCCACATCGGACAGCCCCTTGTGTTTTCAGACAGGACAGGACGGCAGACAAGTCTTTCCTTAAGTAAATTAAGCCCCGGCAATAAAAACACAACTGCAAAACACCTTCATAATATACACGTGTGTGAGCCGACCTTGTGCACTTATGTGTATACCATGTATATATGCATTTAGATATATACACGTGGCGTATATCTAGATACATATATAGGTTTGCCTTATATACCTAAATACACGTATATTCAATTCTCAGATGCTGAGGCTGTTAACAACGGCTCTGCTCTTAGGAGAAGAGCATTTCATTCGTGTTGTATTACTTGAGTCTAAGGGCAGATCACAGACTGTGTAGCTCTCATTCAAAGAACAATCCCTGGCGTCCACAGGCCTGGATTCTTCCAGGACTGCCTACAGTACTATTCTCTCACATAGGGGTTCTCAACTTCCTTGCTTAAGATCCCCCTTGGCACCTAACCCAATTTCAAAGCCCCCATCCCTCTTTATTTCTGTACTTCTCCTCATTCTCAGGACTTTTCACCGCCCACCCATCCACCCACCTATCCATGCATTCAATGCCATTCAATTAAGTGCCTTCCATGCTCCAGTCCCCGGCCACTTGTGTTCCAGGTACCTTTTCTGCTCCTCTCTATTCCTTCCCTACTTACTCCTCACCTTTTCTGTACCCCTGTGCTTTCTCTCCAGGCAAGATTCCTTAGCCTCTGAGTAGGAAAGCATGGACTCCACGTGGTCAGGAAAGGGAAAGTCAGGCCCAAAAGCTAACTCTTGGCCACAAGGATAATGGTATTTGTAGTCTCGTATTTTCCAGTCACAGTTTAGCCTCCCTGTCATTTTAACCTTCACAGAAATAATAACCTACCTTGCCAGCAGATATTCGATTGAAGAGAAGTCATCATCCAATCATTGGGGGCCCCAAATGGCTACATACCAAAGGTCCCATGCTCTCAGGCCAACTAGTGTCCACATCTCGTCTCCAAACTACACTTCCCCGGAGATCAAGCACCACAAAAATGAGAACTAGCCACTCGTCGTGAGTTACTGAATAACCAGGGGCCACGGAGCCCTGGGTCAGCGCATCACAGTGCGGCGGCTTTCTTAGTCCTGTTAGCCACGGAGCATCAGGCTCGGTACTACCGGGACTCTTGCCAAGCAGGGAGCAAGGGATGAACAAGAAGAGGAGACCCTCCTAGAGGGCACGTGGGTCGGGGTGGGAGAGATGTTGGAACTTTCGGTACTGTCCACATCTGGCTGTGTGCCTATTACCTCAGCAGTCTCACAAAGTGTTCCATGTAGCATGTTTTGTGTATATAAAAGGGACTTTTTTTTTTAATATATTCTCAGATTATCCTTGTAATGACACATCTGCAATAAAAGCCATCAGTGCTATTTGGATGTATCTACACTGTGTGTTATTGTTTTAGAATGCCTTCCTGGGACCTCCAATACCAGAGCCTCTTTGAGTAAAACCAGGAAGAGATTCATCCATGGAAATCAATTAAATCACACTTTCCCTATCCCTGGTTTCCAACTCTGCCCTGTGGAGTCCCACGACAGTACCTCAGGCCAAGATGGCTTCCTGGAGCCCCACCTCCTTACGTCTAGCTGCATCCTGGATGTCTCTGCCAGACACAAGCGGTGCAGTCAACACCTGAAACACCTTTCCCCAGGTCTGGTCTCATTTCACCAAATGGTACCATCTACTCAATCGCTTGGGTGAGAAGCCAGGACTCCTCCCTCCCCCTGGCCAAGGTCGACCCACCCCTCCGTGCAAGGCCTCTTCTCTGCCTTGGTGTAGGCCCTCCTCCCCTCTCCCCTCGACCACAGCAACAGGATCCCCACCAGACCAAGGAGCCCTGTTCCTCCACCTCCTTCATCCCAATCCGACTTCCACACTAGCTGCCAGAACCACCTGCCTATAAAACAAATCTGTCGGTAGGG